GCCCTGCGCCCCGGCTGGCCTCCCTCGGCTTTCGGCACCGCAGCAGAGATCGCGGCCTGCGCTCTTTCGTTGCTTCGTCCCCTGCTCGGGGGCAGGGCTGGACCTAAACGGTGTTTTGGCGTTTTTGTGGGTTGTTTTCGGTTCGATTTCGTTTTGCGGTAAAGGCGGATTGAAGACACAACGAGGGGACACGAAAGCAAAGCGAAAACGAACAACACCGTTTAGGTTCAGCCCTGCTCGGGGGGGGGTATCGGTCGGTTTTGGGCGAGAAATCGTCGGTTGGGGGGCCTCAGGAACAGAGGTTCAATGGGGTAGGGTTGTCAGGGAGAAGGTTTGCGAACGCTGGAGGTGCGAACATCGTGCCACGCGCGTGCGGCGACGAAGGGCAGCCAAATGGACTGATCGCCTCCGTTGGCGGCGCCTGGAGCGCCGAGCCCCTCGGCGCGCCTTCGGCGCCACCCCTCCTCCTCCTCCTCCTCCTCCTCCTCCTCCTCCTCCTCCTCCTCCCTCCCTCCTCCTCCTCCCCGTCCTCCTCCTCCTCCTCCTCCTCCTCCTCCTCCTCCTCCTCCTCCTCCTCCAGACCCCAAGAGAGGCCCCCAAATGCCGCCATGAGTCCCCCGAGAGCCTCCCCCAAAGACCCCAACGAGCCTCCCAGCAAGGTCTCCCGTCCACGGCCCAGTCTGGCCGAAGGCCGTTGAGCATTGCAGACAGCATATTGGGACCCGACAGGGCCTGGCGCCGGCGAAGACACCGTGCGGGCACCTCCGCGGCCCCTGGGGGCCGCTCCCTGGCCCGGGGCCAGGACCGCGGAACAGCGCCGCGGGTTTGAAAAGCGGGGGGAGGGGCGATGACTGGTGTGTGCGTGTGGAGCACGGCGGCCAGATAACCTTGCTTCTCTTCTCCTTCTTGTATTGCGAAGGCCTTGCGGCCAGTGCCGCCGACCCCGAGAACGACGAAGATGAGAATGAGGGGGGGCAGGGGGAGGAGGATGAGTGGGGGGTGGAGGAAGGGGGGGGAGGTGGATGAGGGAGGAGGAGGGGGGAGAAGGATGTGGAGGAGAAGCAAGAGGGGAAGGAGGCAGAGGAGGAGCAGGAGGAGGGGAGGCAGAGGGGGGGGGAGGAGGGATGAGGAGGAGGAGGAGGAGGAGGAGGAGGAGGAGGAGGAGGAGGAGATGATGATGAGGAGGAGGAGGAGGAGGAGGAGAGGGAGGAGGAGGAGAGGAGGAGGAGGAGGAGGAGGAGGAGGAGGAGGAGGAGGAGGAGGAGGAGGAGGAGGAGGAGGAGGAGGAGGAGGAGGAGGAGGAGGAGGAGGAGGAGGAGGAGGAGGAGGAGGAGGAGGAGGAGGAGGAGGAGGGAGGAGGAGGAGGAGAGAGGAGGAGGAGGAGGAGGAGGAGGAGGAGGAGGAGGAGAGAGGAGGAGGAGGAGGAGGAGGAGGAGGAGGAGAGGAGGAGGAGGAGGAGGAGGAGGAGGAGGAGGAGAGGAGGAGGAGGAGGAGGAGGGGGGGGAGGGGAGGAGGAGGAGGAGGAGGAGGAGGAGGCGGAGGCGTATTCTTTTCTTTTTTTCTCCAGCCCCTGAGTTGCCGCGCGCCTCGCTCATGGCCGGCCCGGGAGCTGGTGCTTGAAAAGCATGGCGCGGGAGGACGGGGGCGTTGCCCGTCCCAGGAATTCGCCTGGCGAGCGCAAAGCTGCTCGCGACTGGGCCCGACACTCAGCAGATCGGGCCGTGCTGACGCTCTCTGAAGAGATGGCCCGCGTCAGGTCGGAGCTGGACGCCGCCGTCGAGGCGCCAGAAGGGCTGGTGGGAGGCGCGAAGGTCGCGGGGCGCGTGCGTGCCATCCCCCCTGCGCTCACGGCGCTGCTCGAGGGGCGCTCTCCTGGTTGGTTTGCCACGCCGCGGAGGAACGTCGCCACGCACTCGGGCGCCGCTGGCGTCAGAGTGGCGACGGTTGGACTGCGACGGACGCAGATGGGGCCCGCGGCTGGAGGCAGGAGCCGTGGTCGGCGGCGGAAGGCGCTTCTCTCGCTCTCTCTCTCTCTCTGTGCAGACGCCATCCTGTTCGTGCCCGGGTTTCCCTTCGTGCCAGGCGAACGGGAGGCCTTGCCGAGCCCGCCTTTCTGTGGCATCGGCGTGCACAAGCTCGCGCTGGGCTCCCAGTTTTCGCCCGAGGCGGCGGCGGTTCCGTGCGCCGCGCAGCTCGCGGAGAATCTGCCCGACAAGGAGGAGAGGCGCGTCGACCAGAAGGTGTCGCAGCCAGCGATGATGGAGCACTCGCAGATCTCGGCACCCTTCGACGGCGGGCTGGAGGCTTCCAAGGCGGATGAAGCAGAGCGTGGTCAAGCTTACGGGGATGAAGGATCGGCGCTGCCGCACCCTGCGGCCGTGCCGTGGGAGCCTTGCGGCCTTCAGTTGGGCCCTGGGTGAAGAGCGCCTCCTTTGCCCCGCTTTCATCAAGGACGACGTGCCCGTTGCCGTCGGCGCGTTGCAGGACTGCGGCGCTGGGCTCATCCTCGATTCCGAGGAAACGACGACCCGCTCGACGCCTTCGACTTAGGAGGCTGTCGATTCAGGGTTCATGTCGATTCCAATACACTGTAATTTCGCGGTCGGTCTACATGCGCATATCCCCGTGGTACTGTAGCGTGCCAGTGGGTTCCTTGGCAGGGTTGCGCATGTCGGTGTCTTAGCTGCGGCTCTCGGTGCGATATGAATGCGAATCGTTCGTGGTTCCATCAGAGGTGTCTCGCACCGTTAGTTTCCAAGACGCCTGCAGGTCCCTTGCTGTTGGTGTGATTTTATTGGAGGTGAAGACGTTGAGCTCACGTTCTCTTTTTATCCAGCTGTCTGCGGCAAACCTCGCCGCCGTGCCATCGCAGCAGCGCAGCGTGCCACGGGCCGAATCGAAGACCCACTGCAATTCAGCGCGCGGTCTCAGCCGGCGCGGGTCGTAAACTCGACCCCGGAGCGCCGAGCTCTCTCGAGCAGAGGCCCGCGCTTTGTCGAGCCTCCCATATCCGATCCGCAGGGGCAGGAGCAGGAACAGGAGCAGGAGCAGGATCAGGAGGAGGAGGAAAAAGAGAAGGATGAGGAGGAGAAGGAGGAGGAGGAGGAGGAGGAGGAGGAGGAGGAGGAGGAGGAGGAGGAGGAGGAGAAGGAAAAGGAGAAAGGGGAGGAGGAGGAGGAGGAGGAGGAGGAGGAGGAGGAAAAGGAAAAAAGGAGGTGGTGGCGGATGAAAAGGAGGGGATCCAGTTCTGTCCTCCGATCTGCATCGGGCTCCTGGCGGTCCCGGGGCGCGCCGCCTCCCCTCCGCCTGCATTCCCCTTTCCCTCCGCCTCGCGGGTTGGACGACAGATTAAGGGTTGGGAAAGGTGGAGGTTCCGAAGTCTGGTGCCCTCTGTTTTGCATCGGGCTTTCGAGCCATCTCTCGACCCCGACGCCTGCGCCGAGCTCCCTCGAGCAAGGGCCGGCCCGCTCCGTCGAGCGGGGGCCGCCGAGCGTCCGCTCTCCGAGCGGCCTCGGGCCCCCGAGGCGAGTCGTCTCGACGAGCGCTCGACGGGCAGGCTCGTCGATCGAGCCTGCGGGCCGCCGGGGTCGGGCTCAGGGAGAAGGGAAGATAGGGAGGTGCTCCTCCTCCTCCTCCTCCTCCTCCTCCTCCTCCTCCTCCTCCTCCTCCTCCTCGCAGGCTCCTCCTCCTCGCAGGCTCCTCCTCCTCCTCCTCCTCCTCCTCCTCCTCCTCGCAGGCTCTTTGATCGAGCCCTCGGGCCCGGGCTCTCTCTGGAGAGAGAGAGAGAGAGAGAGAGAGAGAGAGACAAAGAGAGAGCGCGGGCCGCCCCCCTGGCCGTCTTGGCTCGGGCCCGCCCGCGGCCGCGGGGGCGGCGCTTCCCCCCCCCCGCCCCCCCCTCGCAGGGCCGCTGCAGGGTCGAGGGGGCGCGGGCGTGCATTCCCTGGCATCGCTCGGACGTGTGCATTTTTCCTCGGCGAGAACCATCTAGGACCATCCTGGACCATCGAGCAGCAAAAACACGCGCGAAGCCGAAAAGTGCACAGGAAATGGACGCCCGAGCGATGGCAAGGTGCAGGCGCGCGGATTCCACGACGGCTCCGTCCCCGTGCCAGGTCGGAGCGGTCCGTCGCGCCAGAGCGGGCGGCATGGGCGCCGCGTTCTGGGGGGGGTGCGTGCCTCGATCCGTGGATGTGGCGCCCACGCGCCAGCTCCACGGATCTGTAGTCCATGTTCGCGCGCGCCCGACGGGGGCGCCGCAGCGGGTCGGTGGCGCGCACCAGGGGGGAGGGATGGGGGCTTTTGAGGGGGCGATGGAAGGGAATGGTCGAGGAGGATCGAGGGAGAGGATCGAGGATGGAGGTTCGAGGGGGGAACCCCAGCTGTTATGGCTGAGGGCGCCGTGGCCGATGGAGCGGCTCTGCTCTCTCGGCCTACTTATCGCAGGGTCTCTGCAGGGGCGCCGAGGCGGGTCGGTGCAACGGACCAGCCTTGAAATCCGGATTCGACCCCCGGAAAATCGATGGTTGGCGGGGGTAGGGTTCGAATGTCGCCACCTGGAGCAGTCGCTGGAGGGGACCACACACCCCGCCAGGCACGAATAGGATCGAGGATCGTCGAAGAGGAGGAGGAGGAGGAGGAGGAGGAGGAGGAGGAGGAGAAAGAGGAGGAGGATCGAGGGGGAGGATCGGGGGGGGATCGGGGGGGGGAGGATCGAAGAGGAGGACTTGTAGGAGAGGAGGTTGAGAAACGGGAGTTTGACGCTCTTCGCCTTGGAACCTTGGGGAGTCTTCCGGGGGGGGGAACTGGGGTCGACCTCCAGGCTTTGAACGCCTTCCGCCCTCGGCGATCAAGCGCAGGGGGATCTTCTGCAGGGGGGTCGGCCTTCTGGGGATGCTCACGTTTTTTTACATGTTCCGGGGGGCCCTGGAGGGTCGTCGTGGCCGCTGCCGGACGCGGCTCGGAAAGCTGGCTGCCGCGGCTGCAGGACGGCTCCCCAAGGA